CCCCCCCCCCTCCCCCTTGGAGGCTTAAGAGCTCTCAGCCCCCCCCTCCCCCAGCTGAAGAAAGGAGTTGTTTATAAACAAAATGGTTGTTTATAAACATTGGTTTCTTCAGTATATTTGCTCGAACTAGTTTGTCAGCAACTGCTTCTTACCTCCAATCTTGTGCCATGGAAGCTGCCATGATGGAAGGTAACAACGCATATATGAAGTACATGCAAACACACAAGCACACAAAAGTTTCGGATGGCACAGTGTCCATTGATCAACTACCTCTGATCAAAGTGGAGCCCAAATCCAAAAAGTCCTTCAAGGAGTTCTTTCAGGTCATCCGCAATGTGTCTGATGTGGATGTGGCTGCTATTCGTTCAGTGATGAGTGAGGCATCACCAAAATATGCTCATCTACCTGCATCTGTCCGTCCACGTGATGCTCTTGGTGACTCTTGTGTACTTCAATTAGTTTTGGAAAAATCTGCTCATGCTTCCTGGACAGTCCTCAAGTTCTACCACTCTACGGTGTCAATTCCAATGGGCTTGGCCAAAACTCTTTGCAACAATAACGTCCTCACCATCGACTACAAGATTTGCTCTAATTCTGATGTCGTCAAGAAGGGCTTCATGAAGATGTTGAGCAAGATTCCAGGAGACCAGTGGCTAACACAAGAAGTAGTGGACAAGCCACAGATTCAACGGCATACTTCCAAGGATGGAGACAACAAGACTTGGAATCCAGATGAAGAAGAGCTTCGCTGTGGAATAGCCTACATCAATGAACATGCTCCTCTGGCCAACGCTCACAATGAGCAATATCTTTGGGTATTGCTGAACATTCGTGATGAGGCATCGCCGCTCTACGGTTGGCCATCTGCAGTAGTCCAGAAAGCATGCGCAAACCGGTCATCTGGCAACTGCCAGTCTGAACCGGAATGGTTCTTTCCTTTGCTGCTCTTTGACCTGAACCCCAAGTTTCTGAAATCTGTGGTGCCCCTGGTGCTTCCTTATCTTCCCAACTTTGGCTTGATGGTCCTTGGGCGAGCCGGCATTGGCAAAACTCCAACTGCACAAATTATGACCTTGGCAGTAGCTCGTCATCTTATTTCTGTTCGTGGTCTTTCTGGCATGGCTGGCTGGCGGCGATCAAAGCAAATTGACGGGTTTCGCGAGCGGCCGGGTGAGGTCAATGTGCCTGTCTTGCTGGATGACCCAAACCTCAGTGCTATCAACTTTGAAGACATCAAGTCTTTCTTAGACGTTGGTGAGACTTGCTTAGTAGATGCCCGCTACAAGCCTGCCAAATTTGTACGCAACCAATGCCGGGTGATCCTGAACAACGAATGGGATGAAACCAAAGAGCCAGATCTTTCTTTGGGTGATACCATCACCTGGGAGCAGTTCCAGGGCATGTTTGCTGTCGCCATCCAGTATGCCAAGCATCCTCACATGATGGCTATTTTGAAGCGTGCTGCTGTCATCATTGCTGGTCGCAGGGCGGTGTACTTGCGTTTGCCAAGCCAAAATGAGTCAGAGACTATTTACCGCTTCTCTGGTGATGGGATCACAGAGGATTGGCTCTGCGACAAAAACAAATCTTCGTATGGCTCTTACAAGCAGGGAGTGCATCAGAAGTATGCCAACTACGACAGTCAGCTGGACGAAGAGGCTGCCCTTGTTGCAAAGCTGTTGGCAACGCCAGAGGAAAAAGCATATATGGAAAGAGCTGAGAAGCATGACCAATGGAGAAGGGAAGCAGCTCCTGTTGAGCCAGAGGCTCCTGCATCTCCTCGTCCTTCGCCAATTGCTTTGAAGGAAGAAATCATCTCACCAGCGACAAAGCGTGCACGAACAGCCTTTGGTGTCATTGACGTTGAAGGTGAAGAGAACAACAACATGGAGACCGATGCCATCGACATTGCCCCTGTGGCAGCGCCAGACCCTATGGGCGAAGAAGAAGAAGATGTATTTGGATTCGGTGGTGGTTTTGAGGCTCCTGCTTAGTCTTGCCTATGTTCACCTTAGCGTTCATCTGTGTACTCTGTCTGACCAACGGTATGGGTATAGATTGCAATGCAATCTGCTGCAGTAGCTTTACGCAAAAAATGTCATGTCTTTAGCGTCTGCATCTGCAAGGTATGTTCTTGTAGTGGTTTCTGTATGTGTTTGCTTGCATGATTACTTCAATGTCATTTGACAACAAGCATATAGCTTTTTGCAGGTGGTATCTGTATTTGATTACTCTTGTTTACTTTGGCAGTTTGCATGTTTATAAACACTGACTACTGTTTATAAACACACCACTTCTTCATCGATGAAGTTACCTTGATAGTGACTGGCTCCAGCTCAAGTCTGTATCAGTGTCATCATGGCGCCCAAGAAGGTGATGTTTGTGGCTATGGGTTCTGAAGTAGAACCTGGGCGGTTTTCGTTGGATCTGCAGACGGTGGACCCTGTCATCTACCGCCCAGACCCAACTACTGATGCTGAGCCGTCAGTGCCTGTGCCCAACGCACATGAACTCCACCAGGACATCGTCAGTGGCCGCAAAGCAGCGTGTGAGTCAAAACAACAACGAACACCGAGACAGATTCAAGCGCATATTCACTATGTCCAAAGAAGCTTGAATTTAGCTCCTGGCATTTCTGGCCAGTGGTCTCGTCAAGCGCAAGATGTTCTCGACACGTGGCTCTTGAAAGATTTGAAGGGCGTGCAGAAAAGGAATATGTTGGCATTGGAGGACAAACCACCTGCTGAAAGTTCCTGCTCAAAAGCCGTTGGCAACATCGTTGAGAGCTCAGAAGCCCTGGACTCACAGCCAAAGGATGAGGATGCCAATATCTTTGAGGACCATCACTCAGAAGCCCTGGACTCACAGCCAACTGATGACAATATGATGGACGAGGATTGCGTCAAGGAGACAACCCCCAAGGATGGCAAGGCCAAGGTCTCATCTTCATCTTCTTCGTCTTCTACCTCCTCTTCCTCGTCCTCTGACTGTACTAAGCGCCGCAAGGTAGAACTGCAGGCTGCATTGACACATCTGAAGAACTTACAAGAAGTGCACCACCTTGAAGACATGGGCGGTTGTCTGCAAATGATTAAATCCGCCATGCAGAATGTCAATGCAGCTTTGCGCTTGTAGATAGCATGAACCTCCTCTGGCATGAACCTGGGCGTATGGCGTATGAAAGATTTCATGCAGTCTATGTGCAATGTTTTTGTGGAAGTATATGCATATATATATATATGGGCGCGTTTCATGGTATTATATCTTATCCATTACTTCTCAGGGGGCCCCGAAAAGCACGCGCGCCCATATATATATATATATTATATGTGTATAAATCATCTTCAAAGGTCACCATGTTCCATCCAGAAAGGGTGCCCCCCAGTCCTGCTCACCGTGGGACCGCGTTCTGCGCGCTACCCACATCTCGGCTTCTCCTGGAGCACCAGCCGTGCCCGGTGGGCCATCGCCAAACGCTGGACCTGGCCGAATCCCCATGTGGGTTGGACTACCGAGCAAAACGTCCGGTGGTCAACGGGGCACATCATGTGGATTGTTTGTATAGGTTTGTAAGAAGATCATGTTCTTTTTGGCTGTGCATTGTGGCAGTGATTTTCTGTGTTTGACGAGTGGTGTAGTTGTTCAGCACTTTTGTGCTCAAGGCATACCAACCCATGACACATTCCTCTTCAAACTTCCCCACTTTCCACTCCGTACTGTCTGTCTACGCCCAAAACCCACCGTTTGCTCCGAAACATCTGTCCATGTTCGACCCCTGCGAGAGAGACTCCCTTGCGAGGGCGCCGCAGGAGCGCCAGGCTGTGTGGCCGCTTGATGTGAGACGCTCGTGAAGGAGCAAAGATTCACACCCCTGGAGACAAGGCCCTAAGGATGTACATTTAGAGCAAAGGGCATCGTTACTAGCGATCGGACGCTACGAACGGGGCTCCTGGAGTTACTACTAGGAACAAGAAGCTAGTAGAGACAATATATATATACATAAATCTATCGATGTAAATATATACAGTATATATTATATATATATGTCGTACTATATCTATATATACACATGTCAACACCAATAGTCCATCGTCGTGTGTTGTATATATATATATATTATATGTATTAAATAATGATACCGGGCTGCTCAGTGGAGTATTGATGTTTTGTTGGCAACCTCCACCAAAATGCTTACATGCCTTGCAGGGGGGCCACTGCTCATGTTGATCCCGTTGCTAGTTGGAGTCCATGACAGCATGGACCAGGCCGGCCTCCAAAACACATGCAAAAACGCTGTGCGTGGTTTTTCCGGGAAGTCTAGTCTAGAATGAGAACACTCCATGCTAGACGTTGGAAAGATGGTAAAGCAAAACCAAGCGTCTAAAAAAACAACAAAGAATGGAACTGCTTGTGCCAATCTATGACAAACTCTGGTGCCACACTATGCAGCTCCATCGCCTCATCATATGTTTCCTCAGCTCTCTAAGATTTACGGAGAGACCAAGGAAAACAACATACAAAACACATTTGAATAATATACTCCCTTTTGTCGGCAGAACAACTTAACTTAATGTTCGATTCTCCAGAGCTGCGATCCTGATGGAAAATCTGGCAGGACAGCTGCTGCGTGATCCTGATTGAACGGACAGCCCTTCCTGCTGTGAGGCAAATCATCAGCCTGCTGGGGAGCGCACACATGGATGCATTTGGCTCGTTTAGCCGAGCTGAGACAGCCTTTCTCCATGTTTCCATGTTGATGAAAGGCAAACTCTTCCAGAGCATGCGTGCTAAAGGACTCCTGTGTGAAGGGCTCAAGGTATCATTTTCCCTACTTGATCCGGTCAAGCTGCTCGGAAACAACTATATACAGGATTATACAGGAAGTGAAGCGCAAAGTCCAGGTCTTCAACAACTAGCTAGCTGCCATCCGAGACCCATTCACACAACATGGTTGGCTCGAGAACGTGGGATTATGTAGGTAGGAGCAATGCCATGCACTTATGTATGATGTGTTCATCTGAGGTGAGTCAGTTGATCCTTTCTCTTTGATGTGGACCTCAGCTGGGATGTAGGGCGTCGGAGTCTGGCTCTCACAGCCTCACAGCTGCTTGTAGCGCTTGATCACTGCATCAGAGATCTTTGCTTGCCCGTCAGAGATCCTCAGCCCCAAAAAAACACCGTGGCTGGATCTGGCCAGGGCAATTGGGTCAACAAACGCATGGCAAGCAGTAGTCAGTCGTGTATAGCAGTCAGGGTATGCGTTTCCTATCTGCAACTGGTAGCACAACGAGCCGCACATACTGTACAAGTGGTTTCGGGCCGAATTATACACAACAAAATGATCTCTTCCTATGTTTGCTTGCTCACTTGAAATCGCCATCCCACACGGCCCTGAACCTAGATTGTAACGACTGATGGCAAGTCAACTACAACAGCAAGCAATGCATCTCATCCGGACCCCTTCAAATGCAGTTTCTAACCTCCCTGTATGAATCGCAAAAGCACAAACTGTGCTACATGTCTCACTCTTGTGTGATGCAAAGATCCTTCGGGAAGTGTGTTTGATGAACTTCAAGCTGGAAATGGCAGTCCGATAGGACGTTGGCAGTTGAAACTGTTGTGAATGGCCACTCGGGCAACCAAAGGGACTAAAAATGAGAGAAAACGAGAGAGAGAGAGAGAGAGAGAGACGAGGTACAAACTTTTGAAGAGCAAGTGATGGCAATGATGGCAAACTATTCACACATGATCAATGGTAACACTAAATTTTAAAAAATAGCTTGTACACAAACATACATAATATATATATATATAGAAATATAACTAATACTGTGCTCTGTTCTGTTTGCTGTCTATTTGGGATGACTCTATATGATGACCCTACATCTATAAACATATATATATATATACACCGTTTGCGACGCAGGTCATCGAACACACGCTATATGTTAAACGATGTCTAGTCCCTCGGCATCGACTTACTCAGTCCGGAGACGGGAGCAAATCACCTGAGAGAGAGGCCAGTGACTAGTGGAATCCATTTTCCCCCGGAAACCTGGCTCATTCCCCCAAGAAACCGAACCAACCCCGAACGTAAGCCAAGGCGCATGTACCGGATGCCCGCTTGGAATGTGGCCTTGACCACAGCGTCGGGCAGTGGGAACCACCAAGGCAGTAGGAGCTTCATATCTCCGCGAGAGGTGTGCCTCATGCACAAATTTTCTGAAAAGAGCCTGGTGGTGCCCAAATGGCTTGGGTGAAGACGTTGGAGAATGGAACACACTCACCTTGAAATCCATCGTACATTAGTGATATGTCAAAGCTTTGATGCCTCTACTCAACACAACACAATGCAGTTGTGACCTCCCCGGACTCGGACATCGACTTCGGGCACGGTCGGCTAGCCTTTGAGCACGGTCGGTCCAACTTTGAGTCCACATACTGTGTAGGCCCGCATGCATCTACACTCTGGTTCTGTTGTTTCCTTTGAGACTTGGAGCGAGAAACAAAAGTCACGCCACGATGCAAGAGGTACAAGTCAGTGCCCTTCTCTTGCCATGTCATGCGATTCATCCAGTTGAGCGAAAAGCTCTCCTCCTTGGTAAGCGAGAAAACACAACAACAAGCAAACAAACACATATACAGTATACAAATACAGGACCCACTGGAACTGGAAACTATACAAATACAGGACCCACTGGAACTGGAAACAGGGAGTTAGTTCCTGTGGCACTGACTTGGTTGCTTATAATAAATAGTTATATATAAGTCTAGAGTCCCTTCGCCAGGACCCAGCCAGTTGCACAAGGGTCCAAATAGAAACACGTTCACAAGGAACACCTGGGAACAGCAAGTATATACTAGTAGCCAGTAACTTATTCGCATTAAATGACCGACCGATGTGTTCCAGTGCCACTAAAGATTTGCACTGTATATAGCGGACACACACACACATACTTATAATATAGACGTGGGACAGTTGCCTTCTGGACCATCTGTTGGATAGAATCGATATACAAATGACCAGCACTTGTGTGGAACTGGTCCCTCTTCAAGGCCTGCAACCAAACCAAATCGTTTCAAACCTCTTTAGTATTGATTAGATTGCTTTCTTGGTTGGAGAACCCTCAGAGATGACTCTTCTCTCATCAAATGGCGCCTCATGTTTGTTTGTCCTCAGGAGTTCCTAGAAACCAGGGACATTCACAGATTCCAACCCACTTGCAGGGATTTGAGCCAACTCCAATCCGCTCCAATCCCAGGGTCCCTGGGCCTAGCTGTCACAGAAATAAATCGCAGGCTGTGGTTGTGGTACTGGACCAGCTTGAATGACTAACAACAAATAATATATGAGGGATTTCAAGACCCACCATCCAACAGTTTGGCACACTTGCGTGCAAAGCAATGCAAAGCATCGGCAAACTTCTCGTACTTGAACTTCTTAAGGTCACCTCAGCTGCAATCGAGGATCGACACTGGTTCCTCCAGAGGTAACATGTCTGAGAAAAAAAAGTCGTATACTCTGCGTCTCTGCGTACCTGCTTCACAGTACTTCCACCAAACCACCCACGACTTGCTACAATAATTTACATAATGACTTATTACATGTTTATTGCCTTACACCACTAATTTTTTTAAAAAAAAAAACTTGTTCCACGCACACCTGCACTGTCACCCCGTCGCCACCGTCTTAGGTCGTTTCACCGGTGCCAAGGGACGATCCCAGGAGCCGACCTCGATCTCGACCACCTCCACGTTCACTGCCTCGATGTCTCGGAGTTCACGGTAAGGCGTGCGACGGCGCCCGGCGGAGCTTGCGGTCGTTGCGGCGAAGGGGCTTTCGTTTCGTCGGCCTTACTAGCTCCTTGATCAACCAAGTCGGCCCCACCGGTCTTTGGATGGGGAGGTTTTTGCTCCTTTGATCCGCACATCACTTCATATTATGAGAGCCTTATGAAGATAAGAGTCTACATTAGGGATTGGTGCTACTTCACCGGCTTGAATGACGAGGTCAAAACCTACCCACTTTTGGGGCAAGGTCAAAAAGGGTTGCAAGGGTTCCCCAAAAGGAACAGCGAATCGCCCGGGGGACGCCGTGGGAGATCTGCGATTCAAAGACATCACTTCACCTCAAAAGGATTCATCAACATGACATGTTGGTCCCATGAGGGTGTCTTACTGCTCACTGATTCTGATTGCAGTGCTGCAGTGCAGCTTGAAAACTTCAAACAAGGAAGAGCAAGGACCCCGTTTAAACACAAAGAATGTCAGTGAGCATCTTGTGTTTCTCTTTTGTTGCATGTCTGTTGAAGGCGCGTTGCTGCCAATCGATTAGCATCTACGTTGGTGCCCCTGGTCCTGTCCAGCCAATCTGAATGTCTGGAGTTGGGCCCAGTCCCTAGCAGGACTAGGTTGTCGAAGTTGCTTAAAACTTTGGGCTGTAGCAACTATGTCATAGACAAGAAGCATAGAACAGTGACATCGCTAAAGAAAGCAGTTGATTGTATGAGGCTGGTCAAATTGTGAGTCAAGGTGATGGTTTCTTCGTCAACCGTGTATTTCAAGAAGCTCCCCAACGGATTTTGTGAGACCATCACTGGAGGTTCATATCAACAACATTGAAATGAAGGCGGGTCATGAACATCGTCCAGGCTGATCATCATGCTGGCAGACTGATTGGCGTTATGTACTTCTGTCAATGTAGATCCTCTGACATTCGCTCATCCACCTGCCCAGCATTCTGTCGAGCTACCCCGGACTTGGCCAGTTCCAGCTTGCACTTCAATCCTTGGTGAACTCCTCAATCTGCATGCTTCAAACACCCCACTCAAACTGCCTCCTACCTATCCTATCCATTGCAGTCGGCACTTTTCAGAATCTTTTGGATGTGCAGTGCCTCTTCATGGGCTGGGGCCGATCAGCCAGCCAAGAACGTCCAGGATGGATTGAAACTTAATGAATTCTGGAAGCCCCTCTCCATGCCTCTTATAGAAGTCCTCCCAAGCTTCTACATCCTTCCTGGGCTATCTGAACGACAAAAGCAAACTTTCTTTTGAAAACCGGACCACACAAGTGAGTTGAAACTAGAGACATCTTCAAGCAACCCAAGGATTCCAAATTCTTCCACGCGATTTGGAAGGGGGTGCCAATGGCTCGCTGTGTGTCGGAGTCGCTTCTATAGCTCAAATCTAGATCTCCTTCAAGCCACTGCTGGATACACAGCCGTCAGTCAAGGTGATGTTCCCTCTACAAGTCCTCCACCGTCGTCAAACACATTGGCACCTATCATTTACCGACAACCAGGCCACCCCAATAAAGTCAAACAAAATATGGACAAACGGATAACTATGATAACTTTTAACTTGAGAGTTGACAATCATGTAACATCTATGGATCATGCTTTTCGGAGTATATGACCAGCTCTGCAAAATCTCCAAGTTCCTGGCGCTTGACCGTTGTCATCTAGTAATGTCAAGCGTCTGGCCTGGTTTTTCCAGGTCCCCATCCGAGTTGGCTTCATATAGGCGAACCATATGCCTGTGGCGAATAGCTCGGGGCAGGGAACTGAAAACCACGAGATTGAGGGTCCTTGGAATTTTCATAGTTAGGGTATGTTAGGGGTCATTCATTGGCCAAACTCGGAGGGCAAAGCAGTTTGCGAGAGAACTCCGAGTAGATAGAGAGGAACAACAGTTCTTTCGGCAGCTGTCTACACCCAACATGTTCATTGAACCTGGCACCACCACGATTCCAAACGTGCTGTATAGACAAAACATGACAAAACTCATGTAGCGAGTGTCAATGGCCATGAAACGCGCTCAATCACCACTTGGTGTACACAGTACTTCTGCTGTTGCTGCCATCTTCCAAAGCTATAGCTTCTGGCACCGCCCACCCTGAACCCTAGCTTAGGAGGGATGCCCCAGGAACCCGGCCTTTTTCTCCCTTGGCCTCTTCCGTTCGTTCGGCGCCGGCCGCCAGAATCTGCACGGCTTCCTGGCAGGAGGGGGCAGCAAATCAGTGGTTTGGAGGGGTAATGTCAGTCAGGAATCTCCAGGTAGTATGACCTAACATGTTGCAGGCCAACAGGCACGTTGAAGGGATGTTGTCGTGTGATCCAACTGGTAAACCTGACTGAAGTGATAGATGTTTGGGCATCCTGATGCAGAAGGAAACATAGAGCTGTCTATGTGATCAAGCACAAGGAAAAAAATAACACACAAACAACTTTTTGCAGTTCTGAGAGCACCCAACGTCAGGTCACAGGTCAGTGCTAAAGAGGACCTCCTCAATACACTGAACCATTTTCCAGAAGAGTTGGTGGGCAAAAAACAACATGTCAATAGCAAGGCTAGCTACAAACAACATGTTCCCCTTGAATAGGCCCTAGTGAACTGGGCCCTGCTCCCATCTTTTGGCTTGTTGCTGTTTGGCATTTCTTGCCTCCCCAGTCCCTTTCCTTTTTAGGCGTTCCTTTCTCGTTTTTCTTTTGTTGCTTTTAAAAATTTTAGTTCTTTCAGCCGATCGGGTGATTAAGTTAAATAAACTAACGTCAATGATTCAGGCATGGCGGCATGGGCGTTTCTTTCTCAAACCGTTAGCTAAAACACCAATTCTTTGTGAACACATTCCCTATTCCGTAGCGCTTGGCGGAAGAATCTTCACCAGTTGGGTCACTTGGAGACGTCCTCACTGGAAACCCGTCGACAAAACCGCAGAAAGGGTCGTCCCTATGGGATGGGGTCAAGCCACAGTTGTCAGATCGCTCGCGAGGTCATTTGAGGCCTGGTCCGTCCCTTCCTGCCAGTTTGTTGCCTGTTCTGTCCTGTCATTGTCCATCAGTTTGGCACCTGATTGAACTTCAGGAACTCTGATGGATTGATTCATGGACATCCGTTTAACTAGGGGCAGGCCTCTCTAGGCCGAACCTTCTCAACCCAGTCTTGCACTCTTTGCACTCCCTGCTCATCATCCAGGCCGCCCAGGCCCCTCGCTTACCTTTACAAACTTGCAAAACTCGTTACAGGAGATCCTTCGCAAGGCGCTGCCTCAGCAGGATTACTATATACCTGCACTCTTTCCCTTATGGTCAGTGGCACACCTGGATTCTTTTCTTCAGGGACGCAGGTCGCGGTGCGGCTCGCGCGAGATCGTGGTCACCAGGCCTTCCGCATTAAAGCATCCATGGTCTCTGTGCGACCCTGTGGGAGTTTCCTTAGATGCAAATAAGGGAATCGTGGAACCATGTGGAACCGAATCCCTTTCGTGTGCGGCCAATGCCTGCTATGCAGGGTTGCTGAAAGTGGACACATGAGACATGACTTACATGGCTGCCACGTTCTCTGCCGGTGTGTGTCCGACATTAGGGGTATGAGTTGTATATTGCTCTCTAGACGACGTGCCTCTGGGTCCGATTGGGAGGCCAGCACCTACAATTTGAAGGCTGGAAATCAAGTGGCAAATTATGGTGACTTTGGTCTAGAGATGATGGTGTGAAATGGCTCTGCTAGACTATCATGCTTGATGATACCATACAATTGCCAAACCTCCTGAGCGCATACGGCTGACAATTTGAGTTTAGTCTTTTGGGCTCAGTACCAGGTCAAGAAATCAAAGATGTGTGTCTAAAACCTCCTAAGCGTTTTCGCGATGCTTGCTCCTTCCAGAATGAGGCAATGGCAGTTGGACAGCATACACTTGAGCCCTGCTTGCAACATCTAAACGCAAACAAGCATTTAAACGACACATGGTTTTTATGCAACCTTATATCACAACTTTGTGGTTTGAAGGGGTTAAATATGTTGTACAAAATGGTTGGTGTATGAACATGGCATGGCTAATGCCAGCACTTTAGCCTAGGCATGCACTCGAGATTGTGCGCACCCGCTTGGAGACTTACACAAACATTTGATGTGAACCGACACCAAACCCGCGACTAGTTACAGTAATTGGGTGGTGGGGAAAGTAGTCCATGGTGGACACGCCTCGCACCGGAGTTCTTTTTGTTGAAATTATTGACCCTTGGTACATCTTTGTACAAGTGATGCATCATGATTCATCATGTACCCATCTCGGCCAAGCAGCACCTCCTTGACTTTTTCCGCCTGAACAGTATTGCAAGCCACCAAGCGCCATGCGGCCTCTTGTGAACCATATAGAACCATAAGGGGGACCTGATCGGACTCAGTCTTGTTCTCTTGGAGCCATGGCCTTCTACACCTCCTCCCCAAAGCATTAAAGATCCTATGGTTCTGAAAATTCCAGCTCTGGTAAGTCATTGAGCGCCCGTCCTTTTGCTCCAAACAATGATTAATGTGTGACGAGCGTCCCCTCCTCTAGACTCTAGACGTTGAACTCTTTTGTTGGATATGTTCCGTGCTCTAGACTTTTCAGTTGAGGTCCAAATCGGAACGACTCAGATCAAGCATTCACCCTTGACCAACCAAACCGATCATGAGTGATCTAGACAAAAGGAAAAGGATTGAGTGCGCTTTCTAGCCTCATTGACCCAAAGTTAGAGAATTGAATAGAAGGTGAACAAGCAGAAATTGCCAATCTTTAGAGGGTCAGATGTTCTAGCTAGTTCTTGAAGTCTTTAGAACCTCTATGCCGCCCAGAAATTCATCCTAGAAAAGCCACCCGGTCTTTGCGCCATCCATCTCGTTGATCCATCCATCTCACTGCCCCCGTCCAGCCTTGATATGAACCACTCGCCCAGAGTCGCCCTCCGCCCGCTGCGCCACTCCGCGCGACGCGGGTCCGGCCCGAACACCTCCACGAAACGCATCTGGGTCCGGTCCCAAGTGGTTTGGGTGCTTGGAGGCTAATTCATCTCGACCGTTGATGAATTTTAAACGAAATAAAACATGTGTTACAATCCAAATAAGGTGTTATAGAACTGCCCCCCAGAATGTGAGCCACCGAATCTTAGGCAATGTCCAAATGAACGTCAAGAATGTCTAAATCACAGCTCAAAGATGGGATTGGATGATGGGCACTTCCTCTACTAGGTGGCGTTATGTTTTATTTGGGAAGGCATATGTGTATATCTCTCTCTCTATGTAATATACTCGTATTAACTCCGAACATTGCACGCCGAGGAGACGCAAAGTGCTGCAATGTTTATAGTTATAATTAGTCTTAGTCTCATATCTGAATCTCATCATGTCTTTCTTTGCATATAGGTTTACATGATATATGCAAACTACTCAAAAAAATACTCTCTCTACAAATGTGTGTAATACAAGTATATGATATATGATGATACACTATCAAAGCCGGAAGGCTCAAAGTCCCGACACCATCAAGAGCTCCAATCCTCTTTGACAATTGGCTAAGAACAAATCTTCATGCTTTTGGGTGAACCTCTTCCAAGCGTTCTAAGCCCATTCTTTGCCTGCGGATTTCTTGGTACCCTTTTCATTAAACAAATACGTGAGGTTGCACACCCAGATATGTCCTGAGTCTGGCTGTCGTGCTGAACAACATGCTACTACTCCATTGGCCAACAAATTGGTTACTGTAAGTGTGAATCCCATTGAAACATGCATTGAAATAGAACAATTAAGAAACATGCAATCTAATTTTAGGATCCCTACGGTGTCTTTGCACCTTGGTGTCCTGATTCTGTCCCAGCATTTGACTTGAGAAATGCACCCACCTGCGGATCCAGCATCCTTGCTCACCGAGAAGGTCCGTGCTGAGACAATGCCTTGGCTCAAAACAAGATGCATCGCGCAGGTGAAAGCGCATTCAGCTGAAGTTGCGCATGCGTCATATGAATGATGCCGGGGCAGCATGGGCTGTTGCCCATTCCCCCCCATTTCCTTCAAGGCACTGCACCGAGAAATCGAAAACACATGAGGCAGAAACGAACCAATCCGAAGTTCAACAGCGAAAGCAACATGAGACAGAACCATGCCATGGGTCGTCGCGATTTGCCGCATGGGAGGGGTCTGACACAGGAAAGGTGTCTTGCCCTGCCATCTAAGGGGCCTCCCTGACCCTGTGGGGCCTCCTTAACTAACAAAGCCTTAACTGCATTTCATTATGCTTATAAATGTCAATTCTTCCCCCCTTGAGGCAGCACTGACGCCTGACCGCCGCCTGGCGGCATCACCGACCAAGGCACCGCAAAAGACCGCGGCAAAGCGCAAAAAACCGCCTGAGCAAGGAGTCGTTACAGGATTCAAGAGAGCTTGAGAGGTTGTGGTTGGGGTTGATTGAGTAGTTTGATGTTATTTTGGGATGGCTATAGAGCTGATCCAAGAAAATTGGATTCATTTGGATTCACGGGGGCCATCATGTCCGGTCAGCAAGAATACCTGATGCTTTCCTCAATTTCTTCAACCCATGCCACACCTCATGCCCTTTGCAGCCCTGTGGGTCTGTGGCGGTGCCGGCCATCAGCGAAAAGCCAAGCATCAGAATCCAGCTGAGACCGACCACGGCTGAAAACACCCAAATCGCTCACGAAAAGATGGTGGTCACAGTCCGACCCTCAGCAAATGATCTACTAATAGCGATGCCCTTGTTACCAGTAGCGATGCATTGGGTCCTGTGCATCGTTGACCGGTCCAACGAGTCGAGCAATCGTCTAACAGCCATCGAGTTGCAACTCGGCCAACGAGAAAGTACACCTGCAAAATGCAAAAGAAAGAACCTTGTATAATTCCATATAAGGTTCACATTAATTGCCTGTATCCATACTTCTGCCAATGTTAATCAATGTATATCAATGTTAGTATGTCCTGCCCGGGTGATTTTGGGGGTCAGCTACCTAGGAGGTCCCCTGGCCTGTCGCCCGGCTCGCCCGGCGCAGCGGTTGTGCTGCAGCATACCCTGCGGGTGGCGCCGACCGTGTGGCGGTCGGCACGGTCGGCGCAGCTGGGGCTACGAAGGCGAGCGGCATGGCATGCGACATGGCACTTGAGGTCTACGAAGGCGTCGTGGATTCTTAGATGAACTTGGACGTTATCAAATGCTTGTACTTGCATACTTGGTCATCAACTTGTGAAGTGGATCATAAGATTATGATCACACAACCCCTCCGGGGCGACCTCTGTTTGAAACAGGTCGTGAACTGCAAAAACTCGAGGTGGGGCCTGGACCAAACTTGCGGGTTTTTCCACAGGCTTGTTTTGTTGAATTCCTACAGCGTGGTGATGATGGAGGTGGATTTCTAAAAAGATTCACCCAGGGCAAAGGGTGATAAGAAAGGAACACCCCTTTCTTGAACCACTTGTCAATCTGAGTGTTCAAGTTCCACAATGTGATACAATCTAATGTCCATTGGGTCTACCTAGTCTGACCGACGAGCAACAACTATATAAGTGAGGATCGTTCAGCTGCTGTGCTGTCCATCAAGACTTCCGATGACTTCCGTGTGCCGGAGATGGAGATGGACACCTGTTTAGACTCAGGCGCCGTGTGCTCTTATCCTTGCAGGAGCCATGGGTCCATCCTCAGGAGCCATGGGTCCATCTGCAAAGCTCTTCATAGCTTGGTCTTACGTCTTACTGTCCGGCTACGGTAGGTTTACTGTAGGTCTTCGCCTGTGGCAGAACAAAGCTGCGGAGCTCAGGTCCCGCTCAAGCCCCAAGTCAAAGCAAGAGTCTGCTGTCAAACTGCAACGCTCACCTTCAAACAAACCGAGTTGACCAAGGTGCGTGTGGCTGGTGAGACAAACGATTTTTTCGGCGGTCTCGTGCTCATTTCATGCCACTTACCAATCTCCTTGAGGAAACCGGACAGGACATATGCGCCTAATCCCTAGGAGGGAGTTCCAACAACTTCCCGCAAGCAACATGAGGTTGTGTCAACGGGAGGGTGCGTATCAACGAGCCAAACCTGTCTAGAGGATCCCTACTATAATAACCGACCACTCACTCTCTTAGATAAACGCCACAGAAGTAGGTATCAAACAGAATCCCCGTGGAAGATGCTCCTTTGCCAGCCAAGTGTTGCCACGAGCTACTGACCCCTCAGCTGCACTTCAACTAGGATACATGTTCGAAGTGCAAGTCATATGTTGCGGTAGTGGAGGGGCACCACGGATTTGGAGAGGCTCAAGAAGTAGGGTACCACATCACACATGGCAGATACCAATTTTTATCTTCCAACGACCAACAAACAGTTAGGAATGCCGGCGTTCGGTCATTCCACCAGAAAATGGTGGCATCCCCAGGATTTTCCGGCTTGGGGTTGTGTAAACAAAGTCCCAAGAGTTTGAGGTCTGGCAGGATCTTTGTTGTCGATTCTATTGGGGCTCTAAGTTAGTGCATATATCATATATATATATATACCTGGCTCATGCGGCCCAACACCTTTTCCTGGACCAGCCAGCGACCTGGTTCACAGTGCCGGGCCAGCGCGTAGGAGAAGCATGCAGGTCAGCCAATCCATGCTGTGCTCATCTGTGAGATAATGTGAGATGAGATAGTATCTGTCAATATCCATGTTCAATAAACTTCCACCAAATTGCCAAATACCCGAAACAAGGCAATGATACGTGCCAATATCAACTATATGTGTAGGCATGGGCAGCACACATGGCATGGGTCCATCACAAATTGATTTCTAGCCTGCAGCAAGATTCACCTACATCCTTCTAAATCAGTAAATGAGTAATGAAGAGGAACCGCTTCAAAGTTCCAGTCCATACAAAGCCATATGTTGGAGCTCTCGTTGCTTCCCACATGTCCCACATGTTCGTAGCAATGAGTCTTCGCACATGTCTTCGATCCTTTTAGGACTGGCTACCTCACGAGCATCGATCGAATTGACGCCACTTCCACCATGCACTGTTTCGGATTGTCGTCACTGGTGCTCACCTCTGACGTAGCGCCATCAACTCAAATGACGACAGCCTGAGAGGCGTGTTATCTGCCCCTGCTCTTGAAAAATATGTACGATTCTAACTATCTATCTATCTATCTATTTAGATTATCTATCGTTATTATCTATCTATATCATCTATCTATATTATCTATCTATATTATCTATCAATATTATCTATCTATATTATCTATCTATATTATCTATCTATATTATCTATCTATCTATCCATCCATCGATCTATCTATGTTATCTATCTATATTGTCTATAGTATCTATATTATCTATCTATCTATCTATCCTAATCTAATCTAGTCTAATCATGTCTAATCCAATCTAACCTATGTATTTGTGTGTGTGTGTTAGTGTTCTGTCTTCTGGTCAGTCTCTTGCCTTCAAAACTTTCCTACAGGATGGAAGCGACCAGCGCCACAGCCTTCTGCGGCCTGGATCGGAGATGAAAACAATGCGCTTTGGGACAGCTGGAGGACATGAAACCTAACTGCAGCACCAGGAACTAGCACAAACCAGCCATTGTGAGCGGTGATTTATTCTCAACCGGGCGAAGAAAAAAGACACTTTGGGTTCCAGTGGACAAGACACAGCTCACTGTCATCTTCCATTGTCTTCTCAACTTGCGAATCAGTACTCATTTATTCAGAGGGTCACCATGTGGTACTCTTGAAAGAGTTCTCAGAAAGAAGAACGCATACGTCACATACTTCAAATTTAGGATCTTGGATGTCCCATGCGAGCACCAGCCGTCCTATGGAATTCGACTATATAGTAGCAGTTCGTGCCCCCAATAGACCTCAAAACAAACAATAATCACGCACAGTCTCCATGTAAATCTCAAACGTGCTCGGGTCAACAGCCACCTCAGCTTATTTTCTCTCATGCCCCTCCAGAAACCCAGGTCCCAAGGAGGCCAGGGAACACCCACCGAGGCCTCAGCAGTTTCGGGACCAAACCCCACGGTGAAAACACGACCCCTCTCGAGGGTCCTGGATCTGATGGCATCCTCTGGCAGATGAGGACCGTCCTTTGGTACAACAAATCCAACATCTAAGCTAATATATACATATATATATATCATATAGAGAGAGAGAGAGAGAACTGAGCAAGTGATTAGGACACTCCCTGTAGTTCCTTCGCTCCCTCTTTAAAGGAATTTAAACGGGGAATATGCATACTTTCCCCCAGCTCTGAATCACTCCCTCCCAACCACCAGCTAGCAACACCGCAACCATTTCAACCAGCTCCCAGAAAGCAGGCGTTTTGACCAAGAAAAATCCGAAACTCTGAGGAATCGTGATGACCACCTTTGCTGATCCCCAGAACTGGGACCTCTATACCTGCCAATCCGATGCATTCAGCTCCGAGCTTGGACCCCAAGCGGCGCCTCAGACCGACACTCTGACCACCGACACACTGAGAGACAGATTTGAGGAGGGGTGCACGAAAGGTAGCCATCCAAACATAGCCACATGGGAGGCAGGAGGCACAACCAATCATCTGGCAAAGGGAAGAATGTCGGGATGATGATAACATTCTCAAAGAAGAGCGTGTTTGTCTGGATGGCAATCCCACGCTCTGGGGGAAAGAATTCAGCATTTGTCAAAATAAGTCAGGACTCTCTTGGTCGGGATGCTTTCAAAAATGTTCAAGCCCACCACACTGAAACAGGCACACAAAGGAGAATAACAAACCGGATGTATACTGGTGAGGCTTCAACATTTTATGCAAAAATAAAAGGTTGAGTAGCTATATGTAGCTATGGTCCGAGCAAGGCCAACACAAGTCACATCCCATCGCATCCTGAGATTAGAACCGACCAAAAACAACAAAAGCAATCAACGGTTCTGCGCAAACATGTGTTTCCAACCAATGTCGCACAGTTCGGCAGTGGTACCGAGCCTCAGCTAGTCTTCACCATCAAAAACCATCAGTCGCTGCGGACTGAAGAACTTCATAGTGAGACTTGTCCATTTCTCTGGCTTCCCAAGCCTGGTGTCGCTGTTCAATTCTCGAAGCCGTCCATCTGCGGAGTCCGCATTCCGAAGAACATCCATGAAGCCGCTAAGCCCTTTTTGTGGGATCATACATGGCCAGCACCATTGCAGTCAAGGAGAATGAACCCCAGCTACGGCTACAGGCATGTCCAGCTACAGGTGGCTCGCTTTGTTCTCGGTCCTGAAGGAACTCTTCTGGAACTCTTCTGTAGAATAAAAAAGGGCTCTCACCAGTGAAAAGAATGATCACTTCCTGTGTGAACGGCAACAGTTAAAGTTGGAACAAAGACATGCTGAAGATGAGCATATCCCCCACACACAAACACGCCCATCTCAACATGGGAATTGTATGAAATTGTTGGTCCCACGTGGCATCTAGTCCATTCGATCATCGGCGGACCACGAAGAATGCCTAACAACATGTCCGAACACGCCCTCACGGGAAGAAAGGCTCCATGTCAGAGCGGCTGACTGGTTTCCATTGACTGAAGAACAAGTCATCACTCGCGAAAACGACGATTTTCGATCTCTGAATTGTCTGCGAGTGCCAAAGTCTTCAAAATGCCATCTGACCCTTGGGGTTGGCCATGATCAAGAAACATGTTCATACGTAACCTGAATTCACAACCTCTCTCCATCGCAAAGGTAACATATGAACAAACAAGCGACTGAAGATTGGACATAACACGACGGTAACTGCTCAGAAAACTATCCAACACTTTGGCCGCAGAGCTAAGTGCATCCACCGCTCAGCGTGGTTCAATGATCCTTGGCACAAGGATTCGATTGCATCCCTTGAGGTCCAAGCTTACCAATTGAGCCCAACATCAGTGGTTCAACAAATTATAAACTTCTAGCCCTTCGGATTGCCTGATGTTGTTTCAACTGGTTGACATTTTGTAGGGCAAGGTTCTGCATTGATTCGTTCCAAAGGCTGGAAACAACTATCGCTTCCAATGGATGAGTGCCACTGAGTCTACCTTAACAGGAAGCCAGCCTGCAGCCCTGGGATATTCGGACTTGCGCAATGAGCAGCAAACTACCCAACCTGTGCCCATACAAGCGAGCAGGTAAACATGTACAATGAGATGGGATGAGATGGGTATTTCACAGGTAGTGACCCCGAGCCCCAAGCAAGTTCTGAGATGTTCTGAGGCCACCTGGCCAACCTTCTAGCTGCACCCGAGGCTCTTGGTATTACCTTGGCCGGGGCCGAGGCTCTAGGCCACATCCTTGAACTCGACACTGACATACCATAGAACGTCTCCAACATTAAGCGTATCTATTCTATATGTCGCAACATCTACCTTTACAAATGCACACGCACATGTTGTAGAGATGTTTCATAATCCTTTACATCTCGCGATTTATTCTACATCTTCCTCCTTTCGTTCCAGCGGCAGCTCCTCGGACTCGGAGACGTCCTCGGACTCGGAGTCGTCCAAGTCCCAAAGAAGTCCGCCTGGGCCGGTCTCGGTCTGACCGGTCGCTGAACACAGGTGGCCAAGGGAGCAATCCATGAGCTTCACCTATATGGGAAACCAATTGAGCGCCCTGCTGGTTTCGAGCAATCCCTGAGAACCACGGAGACTAACCACCCTGCAACTTAATCAGTGGGATTGTACATTCGTTGTCTACATGTTACGTGTGTTGTGTAAGTGTTTCGTTCTCCAAGTTGCCCGTGAGTCCGCAAAAATCCTTCAATCAAGTTGCTATAAACACGTGTGTCAGCTTGTTGCACCTGCAAGCCCATTACAGCCGTCAAAACCGCCAGATTCTTGAACCTTCCCAACAACAACAACAACAACAACAACAGCAACAGCAACAGCAACAACAACAACTTTTGCCACTTGCCATTAATCAGTCCAAGTCACAATCCTCAGCTGCAAGAAACAAACATATTGACATATTGTGGACATGTGTATTTATATACATATATATATATATATATCATCCAAATATTTAAGTAAAAATATATGGATATGTGTACATATCAACATCTTAAAGGACAAAAACGCTCAAACGGCTACAACTTCCATTCTTCACTTCACCTTTTTCAACTCTGCCCCGCCTTTGGGGTCGCCGCCAGCCTCCGGGTGCCCAGGACCCCAGTACAGCCTTGAAGCTCGCAGGATGGTGAATCGAACTGGCTGTGATGGTGTGCGTTGCTGGGTCACTTCAATTACTGCAGGAGGGGGCATGATACAACTCCTCATAAGTTTAGGAGATATAGTGGTCCCCAAAAAAACTACTGCGGAGGTCCGACATCCAGTAGTTGATAGGTCTCCATCAACATGTTGGGGGTCCTGTAGTATCCTGTAGTGGGATTGATGATCCTTGTGTGAACATTTTGTACCGTGTCAGCAGTTGGTCAACAATGTTTAAAACATATGGAGGCTATGTCCACTGAACTCAGCAACTAGGGTGGCCAGGTGCCTCTGAAACCTCATCGTCGGGCATGCAAAATCGCAGCACTCCACCCATTCCAAACTTAGTTCTGGACCCCTGGAGATCCTAGATATGGACCACCATCAGGTATTCAACTGATCTACAGCTCCAAAAGGCCCCGAGCTCAAGCTTTACCATTTGGTTCATGTATGATGTCTGTGTCAACCACCCCTATTGCCTGTCTTCTGTCATCTGTCCACCACATGCCAAACCGCACAAAGAAAGACCGCCAAACCAACCTTCCGACCCGTCCAATCCGCCAAATTCCACCAAGCTGCGCGTCGGAATGCTGGATGTCGGAGTTGGGACCCCAATAGTGCCTCGGCTGCGAACACGATCTACGCGAAAACTCCACGCGATGCCTTCCATGGAAGGGATTTTTCTCGGGCGGCCTGGAACCAACATCAACCAACCAACAGAACGATTTTGCCTATGTGGTCGAAGTCTGCTGAAGCCGGGGGCAAACATCTGCCGTATTTCAACCCATTCAACCACCTTAGTTTTGACTTCAATGCTTCTAGGAGCCTCCAACCCTCCCAGCCGCGCCAAGCAGCTCATCCGAGTGCGCCACGTCGGAGTTGACGTTCCAGGCATCCTCAGACGAAGCGCAGCGGGGTTGGAAGGATTTCATGGAACCACTTGACTTGGATGAAGGCCGTAGGGCACACAGAAGTAGTACGTTGGTTCACATCTTTACAGTAATTGTACTGAAGGCACACCCAGTGGGTTGAATGCCAAATCTTATTGAAAGTAATCCAGTTAATCAGATAATCTTGACTTAATTGCAAAAAATAGCGTTGACACGCACGGCGGTGCCAGATTTCCCATCATGCTGCCAGGACTGCTGATCCGATTGGTGGCCAACATGATCTTGGTTGAAAATTCATCAAACGGATTATATACAGGTACTTATAGAGGTATATACGCAGCCTTCCTGGTGGAGACGGTTCCCTTCATAGCTAGTAGAAACAAGTGCATCGCTACTAGTAACAAGTGCCTTACTACTAGGAACAAGAAGCTAGTAGAGACAATAAGCTACTAGTAACAAGTGCCTCGCTAGTAGTAACAAGTGCCTTACTAGTAGTAACAAGAAGCTATTAGTAACAAGTGCCACGCTAGTAGTAACAAGTGCCTTACTACTAGGAACAAGAAACTATTAGTAACAAGTGCATCGCTACTAGTAACAAGTGCATCGCTACTAGTCACAAGTGCCTTACTAGTAGTAACAAGAAGCTATCAGTAACAAGTGCCACGCTAGTAGTAACAAGTGCCTTACTACTAGGAACAAGTGCATCGCTACTAGTAAAAAGTGGCTTACTACTAGGAACAAGAAGCTATTAGTAACAAGTGCATCGCTACT